TAATAATAATAAAGTGGTAAAGAGTTAAAATTGGCACATCGGTTCATAATTGTATTAAAATCAGATAAATAAGCCAAATATGACAATTGAGCGACCGTGCTAGAACCACGGAACTCGGGAATGCCTAACACCTTCTCCCGGGTTAACAGAATTCCTTATCCGGATTTCTGGTTCGCGGACTGTAATATGGAGTCATTCTTTTCCTCGATTCGGGATTAAACTGGTGACTTGGGACACCCTAAATCTCCCAAGTGGCGACTCTGAAATAAATAAACAAATCCCGTTTCGACTGTCCTTTAATTGGAAAAAATTCCTACGCCCTTCGCGGGGTCGGAAAAAGGAGGTGCGACAAATGGGTCGCCTGCTGGATTCTTTTCATCACAGAGAGGTTTGAGGCAGGGGGACCCTATATCCCCTTTCTATTCATTCTAGCAATGAAAGGTTTAAACAGTCTGTATAAATCTGCAAAAGCTAACAACTAGATCAAGGGCTTCAGGGTGAACCATACAGTTCCAGAGTCTCTGGAAGTCTTCCATTTACTATATGCAGATGATACTCTGGTTTTCTGTGATGCTAATAGAGACCAGGTGCTCCTTCTGAGAGTAATTTTCATACTTTTTGAAGCTATTTCTGGATTACACATTAACTGGAATAAGAGCTTCATTTATTCAGTTAATGAAGTAATGGAGATTCATAGCTTAGTGAATATTCTGGGAGGGAGTACAGGAACTCTGCCAACAATATATCTGGGAATGCCTCTTGGAGCAAAAAACAAATCAAAAGGGATATGGAATGGTGTAATTGAGAAATGTGAAAAGAAGTCAGCTATAAGAGTCAATACCTATCACTGGGAGGGAGACTTACACTAATCAATTGTATTCTAGATGCTTTGCCAACCTACATGATGTCTCTGTTTCCTATGCCTACAAGTGTAGCAAAAAGACTTGATGCCTTGAGAAGAAACTTCTTATGGCAAGAAGCACGTGAGAATAACAAGATTCACTTAGTCAGATGGGATGTTCTCACAACAAGCAAAAAGGAAGGCGGTATGGGGATCACGAATATGAAATTGCAAAATCAAAGTTTGATGATGAAGTTGCTATGGAGGTTTGCTACAACAAAATAATCTTTGTGGAAGAATGTAATTGAGGTAAGGTATGGAAAGGAAGACAGTTGGACAACCAAACCAGTGAGCACTCCTTATGGGGTTAGCCTGTGGAGATCCATAAGAAATCAATGGTCAATGTTTTGTACTAAGTCTAGTCTTAAAGTGGGTAACGGTATGAAGACCTCTTTCTGGGAAGACATATGGCTCGGACAAAGAACTTTGAAGCAATTGTTTCCAGACATTTACAACCTGAACAACAACAAGTTTCTTATGTGGGAGAGGCGTGAACAGTTCAATGATGAAATCTCACCTTCAGAAGACTCCTAAATGATTGAGAAATTCAAAGGATGTTAGAATTTTATAGTACCTTAGAAAAATTCAAAGGCATTTCATATTCTAAGGATAAAATGCATTGGAATGGGGGAAAAGAAGATAAGTTTACTGTCAGATCTGCATACAAAGCTCTTAATCAGTCTAACAATCAGATTGGTTGTTGGCCATGGAAGATGATCTGAAAAGTAAAAATTCCCTACAAAGTTGTATGTTTTACTTGGTTATTAGCAAGAGAAGCAGTCCTAACACAAGATAATCTTATCAAGAGAGGTTATCAGTTGGGGTCCAGATGTCACCTGTGTGAAGCTCAGGGGGAGACAGTCAACCATCTTTTTTTACACTGTAATGTTACTGATCAACTATGGAAGATATTCATCAATCTGAGGGGGATCCGACGGGTTATGCCTAGGAATATCAAGGAAGTCCTAACTAGTTGGAAAAGAGATGGGGAACATTCCGACCCGAAGGAAAGATAGAAGATTGTCCCAACTTATATTTGGTGGACAATATGGAAAAAAAGGAATCAAAGATGCTTTGTGGACAACCATATTTCAATACAAAAACTGAAGATGAGATGTTTAATGCTCTTTTATTTTTGGTGTAAATAGAAATTCCTAGAAGAGAGTGAGAATATTTTGATATTTTAGACCATTTGTATCCTACAAAACTTTAGGCTTCTCTTTTGGGTTCCTGCCATGACATATTACCTTTCCAAAAAAAAAAAAATGTCATGAGACGAGGATTATTCAAGTGACAACACAAAGTAAAGTAAAAGAAAAAAGAACCCAAAATATGAGAAATAATTCAAAAGAAGAAAAGTACAAAATGCATACGGGGCTGAAACCTTCTCAAGGAAAATAATAAATTTTCAGTTATTTTATGCCATTGTTATCCATAGCTATTATCCACGTGTCCTTCAACTACTTCATCTCCTCCTCCTTGAAACCCCAGCTTAAACCTTAGCTCCTTCTCTGCCATTCTCCGAGCTCAGCTCCGCCGTGCTCCGCCACTTCACCGCTCGCTCTCCATCTTCCGGCGTCGGTTAACTTCCTGATTATTAGACAGCGACACATGTTAGATTGACCAAAATGTCCCTATCGTGCAACTCTTTCTCCCCAGTCTTCACCCCGGTTCCTCCCTCTCATCGTTTCCTATTCCCGGCCAAAATCCCAAACTACGGAAAGCTCTCCCCCGTCCACCGCCGTCTTCTTCTAACAGTCGCTGTTAGAGCCAAGCCGAAAGAGCTCATCTTAGGCAATCCGACGGTCACCGTTGAGAAAGGCAAGTACAGTTACGATGTCGAAACACTAATAAACAAGCTCTCGAGCCTCCCACCACGTGGAAGCATCGCCCGGTGCTTGGATACTTTCAAAAACAAGCTCTCTCTCACTGACTTCTCCCACGTGTTCAAGGAATTCGCGGCGCGTGGCGATTGGCAGCGGTCCCTGCGACTCTTTAAGTACATGCAGCGCCAAATATGGTGCAAGCCCAATGAGCACATTTACACTCTCATGATTGGAATATTAGGCCGTGAAGGCCTTCTTGATAAAGCCTTCGAGATATTCGACGAAATGCCAAGTCATAGTGTGGCACGAACGGTATTCTCTTACACTGCTATTATTAATGCTTATGGCCGTAATGGACAATATGGAACTTCTCTTCAACTACTTGAAAAAATGAAGCAAGAAAAGATAATTCCTAGTATTTTGACTTATAACACAGTTATTAACTCTTGTGCTCGTGGTGGACATGAATGGGAAGGGTTATTGAGTCTATTTGCCGAGATGCGACATGAGGGTATTCAACCGGATTTAGTTACCTACAATACTTTGCTAAGTGCTTGTTCAAGTAGAGGGTTAGGAGATGAGGCAGAGATGGTTTTTAGGACAATGAACGAGGCTGGGATTTTGCCTGATGTGACTACTTACAGTTATTTGGTAGATACTTTTGGCAAACTGGGGAAGTTGGAAAAGGTGTCAGAATTACTCATGGAGATGGAGGCTGGGGGTACCTCGCCGGAGGTCACCTCCTATAATGTCTTATTGGAGGCTTATGCACATTCGGGGTCTATGAAAGAGGCTATGGATGTATTTAGGCAAATGCAGACAGCTGGATGTGTGGCTAATGCAGAAACTTATAGTGTTCTGTTGAATTTATATGGGAAAAATGGGAGGTATGATCAGGTTAGGGACCTTTTCCTTGAAATGAAAATGAGTAATACGGAGCCGGATGCGGATACATACAATATTCTCATCCAGGTCTTTGGTGAAGGTGGTTATTTTAAGGAGGTGGTGACATTGTTCCATGACATGGTTGAGGAGAAGGTGGAACCAAATATGGAGACTTATGAAGGGTTGATATATGCCTGTGGAAAGGGAGGCCTTCACGATGATGCGAAGAGGATTCTACTGCATATGAATGGACAAGGTCTGGTGCCTAGTTCTAAAGTGTATACTGGCGTAATTGAAGCTTATGGACAGGCTGCGCTGTATGAGGAGGCAGTTGTCGCCTTTAATACTATGAATGAGGTAGGAAGCAGACCGATGGTGGAGACTTTCAATTCTCTGATCCATGCATTTGCTAAAGGGGGACTTTACAAAGAATCTGAAGCAATATGGTTTAGAATGGGTGAGGTTGGAGTTCCACGGAACAGGGATTCTTTCAACGGGATGATTGAAGGGTATAGACAGGGAGGTCAGTTCGAAGAAGCTATAAAAGCTTATGTTGAGATGGAAAAGGCAAGATGTGATCCAGATGAGCGGACGCTTGAGGCAGTTTTGAGTGTTTACTGCTTCGCAGGCCTAGTTGACGAAAGTGAGGAGCAGTTTCAGGAAATTAAATCACTGGGCATTCAGCCTAGCATCATTTGCTGCTGTATGATGCTGGCAATTTACGCAAAAAGTGAGAGGTTAGAATTTAATTTCTGATCAGCCGATTCCTCAAATTTTATAACTTGATATGGTTCTATTGATCTAACATTGGTGCCTCAGAAATGGTTCTTTAGACCAATTTTTATGCTGTCTTTCTACTTGCTGGGATATAGCTTCTTATAAGACTGTACTTTTAAAGGTACTAAGTGGAAATACAATATTTGAATTTTCAATTTGTACAATTCGCTTACTCGAAAAATGCACAGTGAAATTAAACTGTTTGACTAGTTGTGTGCATCGTCTGATCTAGTCTATTACATTTTGAGTTTCTTTTCCATAAATTTCATATAGTTTCTTCAACTTTTTCATACTGCTTCAGGATTTGTGCATTTGTACTTCCTTGTGTTGCTTATTATTTGCAGAAACTGGCAAGATTTAGGCATGAGGGTGTAAGTGGAGCTTAGCCTATGTCCGAAAGCTTCTAGCATAGATTATACCATGAAAATTGAGCTGGTCCTAGTCTAATATAGTAGTTGATGCTTGGATGCTCTTAGAGTTCGTGGATGAATTACCAATCAAAAAGAAAAAAAAAGTTGGTGGATGAATTCCTGTAAATTTTTGCATCACTGGAGTAACAGAGAAGACTTTTCTTCTTTCCTTTTGCTTCCAATATTCTTATATGTTTTATTTCTTGAAATTCTTCTATTAGGTGGAATATGGCCCATGAATTGTTGAACGACGTGATGACAAATAAGACTTCTGATATGCACCAAGTTATTGGACAAATGATTCACGGAGATTTTGATGATGAGAATAATTGGCAGATGGTTGAGTATGTCTTTGACAAACTCAACTCAGAAGGCTGTGGTTTGAGCATGAGGTTCTACAACACTCTTATAGAAGCACTTTGGTGGTTAGGCCAGAAAGAAAGGGCTGCAAGAGTGCTGAATGAAGCAACAAAAAGGGGGCTATTCCCTGAACTGTTTCGAAGAAACAAACTTGTGTGGTCTGTGGATGTTCATAGGTACTTGTTTTAAGAGGGATATGGTGTTACTATGTTTAAATTAAATTCCCCTCCCCTTCAACCTGCCCCAACTCTGTAAATAGTGCTAGCATAATTGTTCCTTGGTAGGAAATATTGAAAATGGGTGTATATTACAATATAGTTATGCGGTGTTTCTCTAATTATTTTCTATTTTTTTAGGATGTGGCCTGGTGGTGCATGCACTGCAATTTCAGTTTGGCTCAACGATATGGAAGAGTTGTTCCATAAAGGCGAAGAGCTTCCTCAATTGGCTTCTGTTGTTGTCGTGTAAGTGCTTTTGCTTCGTGCTTTTTGTCAGTGATCATCTCCTTTATGTGATGCTTTCTTCCTATTTACTTTCTGTGGGGTTGGAGGGCATGGGTGTAGATTGACCAAGAAATGTAATTGCTGGAACCTACTTTTTGGACGTGTACTCCTTTTAGTTTCGCCAGTTATTTGCTTCTTACTATAAAGCTAAAGGGAAAGAAGAGCAATGACCATCACCTAGCAGCATGAACACATGCTTATCCCAAA